AAATGTATAAAACGACTCAAAAGTAATTCCTATATCTCCAATTCAAAAACAAAACAGAAATTGGACTAAATCTAAGAATCAAATAAAAATTATGACAAATTATCTGTAAAAAATCTTCTGAAAAATAGACTGAAAATTCTATTAAACGATAGTATTACTAATCTATATATATAGAAAATCTATATAAAATCATAAAATAATAAAAAAAAAGGAAATGTATGGTATTAAAAAAAAATAAAAAAATAACAAGGCATTAATGATATGATCTTATAATAATAAAAAAAAAAAAAAGAAATAAGATATTTAATCATACTATTCAACGATACAGAATAAGATATTTCCGACAGAAAATATGTAAAAATAATATTATTGCAGAAATGTAGAAAAAATTTTAAATTGACATCTTCATTATATCTTTTCAAATTTTTTATTTAGATTTTTTATTCATTATTGAACTGAAAGTTAAATAAAAATATTTTTGAAATTTTTGTATTAAAAAAATAATTTAAAAAATAAAATAAAATTTAAACAACTTGTTTAGAAACTATCTGTTTACTGATTTTAATGTTCTTAAAAATATTATTAAAAATCATTAATAAATGTTAAAGATATCATTTCTCGGAAAAAATATCCAAATTAAAAAAATTTTAAAACTTTAAAATATATAGTGCATATAGAAATATGTATTACGCAATTTTTTTTTACTACTAAATTTATTTTAAACAAAATTGATCCATAAAAATTCAATTATTTTTCGGTTTTAAATTGTAATTTCTAAATTAAAAAATAAAGAAAAGAGTTTTCAGAATTCAAAAATTATTTCTTTAGTGTTTCTTTTATCTAATAAAAGATATATCAATTATTTATGTAATTAGAAAAAAGTTATACAAAAGAATGTCTTAAAAATATAACAACTTCATAACATTTTTTTTCGCAAAAATATTTTTTTTTACTTTTGTTAACGAATTATTAACAAAAAAAACGCTGATTAATTATGAAATGCGTAATCAAATCGATGGTAGCGTTGATTATATATGCTGTTGATTGAACACGAACAAATCCAAGCAATATATATATCGAAGAAAGTATGTTAAATATAAGAAATATTTTTTTATCAATAAAATTACATTGAATTATATCACGAATAATGAATAAACTATAATATTCAACACACTTTCTTCAACATATTTTGTTTGAATTTGTTTATATTTGATCAATATAACGAATATCATCGCGGCTAGAATTGACTATACATTTCATGACTGGCCAGTGTTTTTTTTATTAATAATTCATTAATAAAATCGTAATTGAAAGTTTTTGCAAAAGAAAATGTATTCCTTGAAATTATTTCAGATATTTTCAGTTGGATGTTTTCATATAATTTCAAATAATTCATTTTTTCATGCGAAATCAAATCGAATAAACAATAATTTCAATAATTCTTGAAACAATATAAATAAACAATTTTTTTTCATTTCAAATATAGCTTCGTTTTTTTTTATTTCGCAATAATTTAGAAGAATTTCTGAATCATGTGTACAATAATGTTTATTTCGGTCATGTAATATTTGCCACTTCTGAAAAGTTAACCAAAGAATTGTTTAATGAATGATTAATGTATGTAATATCAATTTCAAAATATTTTGTTATTGGATCTATGAATTATCATCTATGAATTATCATTATAAAACATATATCATTTAATTAATATATTGAAATATATTAAAATTTACAATCCTGAAAAAAATTACAAAAATGATATCATTTAATATATACAATGTCTACATATGGAAAAAAACTTTGAAAATTTTAATATTTTATAATTACAATTACAATTACATGATGATTTACATGGATGGAATATCATTAAATTATAATAAAGTCTTTTATTCATAATCACGAAAATATTATAATGTATTTTCTTATATTATATAAACTTAATAGATTTTGCTTTTTTACAAAGTTTCATTCATCTATCTCATTGCTCCATATGTGGTAATCATATTATATATTATATCATATTATATATATTATCATATATGATGTACGTGATATAACAAATTTTTGTTTTAAACATTTCTGAAGAATTTTATTATTATGAAAAATATATTATATGTTTTCAAAATTATATTCATAAATCGAATTGCTTATCCCTTACATGATTTCATTTATTTCATGACAAAATTCGATAATTATATTTAAAAGTTCTAATAAAAATGAACTACATCTTTGAACTACATACATACAGTTCTCTTTCATTTCCTTTTTTTCCATTTTCATTTGTTTTAATACATAATATAAATTATTTTATCATTATAAATATTAAAAAAAGATTACTCGTCATATGATATATAATGAGAGTCAAAAAGAAGTATACATTTCATACATATAAAATTTTATATTATATTTACAGTATATGTCGCAAAAATCAAGATTGTAATAGTATATAATAATTGTGTTATACATGGTATTTGTAGTATCACAATCGTATATAAACACATATCTTAGTGATTTACGTTTTAAATGTTTTGAAAGCAAATATTTATCAGAAGTAGATTCCTTACGAACGCATTAAAAATATATATGCAGTAATTAATCTTTATGAAAGATAGTCAGATAAAATGGTTTTTTAATTTCTGAATAAGCGTGAATTTGTTTAAATTTTCATTAGTGTTAATTAAATTTTGAAATATTTAGTACGTAAATAAAATTATATGAATATGAATGAAAAACGTACAGAAAATTTAGAAGAAATGAAAAAATTTATTGTTAAATTAAGAAATGAAGGAAAATCATTTCGAGAAATAGAGAAAATAGCAAATTGTTATTATGGAACTATAAAAAGAATCATAGCTAAATATAAAGATATAAAAAGTATAAAAAACTTTCCTCGTTTCGATCATCCAAAAAAGTCAAATAAAACAAATAACTGATTAATTACACGAATAATGAAAAAATTTCCACTTTGAGTTTCACTAGCTCAAGAAATAACTGAAATATAAAAAATCTAATATGAGTACGATTTGCAGATCATTAAATTCTCAAAATATGCATGCAATTATGTTCCACACAAAAAACTAATAATAAGTGCAAAGAATCGATTGCGATTATAATTCGCAGAAAAATTCATGAACAAACTACTCGAATTTTGGAACATCATGTATTTACTGATAAAAGTAAATTTAAAATTTTTGTAAAAAAAAAAATGCAACAAAAAAAATACGAAATTAAAAAAATTAGAAAAATTTTATTAATATCGTTAAGCATGGCAAAGGTAATATTATGATTTGAGATAGCAGCCTCTGGAATCGAGAAATTAACTTTTATTAACAATACGATGAATAGATTTCAATATCTAGATATTTTAAGAACAAATTTAGCTGCAAGTATTACAGTTCAGTTTTCAGATTTGTGAATCTTTTATCAAGATCGAGACTTTAAACATACAAAGATTGTTAATTGATTGCAACAAAATGCTTCAAATCAACTAAATTTTCCATCAATTCCCAGATTTTAATGTAATAGAGAAATTGTAGAAGAAATAAAAAATATTAAATTTGAAATTATGCACAATAAAAATTACAAACAAGGAAAATCTTAAAATATAAAATAATATTTCTGTTTTAACAACATATAAGTTGATTGAATCCATGCTAAGATGGTTAGCTGCTGTAATTAAAGTTAAAGATGGATCAAAAAAATATTAAATTAATAAATTTTATTAATAAATGAAAATAAATCATTTTTAATTATTGTATATATTTACTTTTAATTTATATTTTTATAAATCTTCAATTATTTTAAGTTATTTAATTATATTTTATATTTCAAATTATATCATTTATATAATATCATTATTATATCATTTATTAGATTGAATTACATTTTTTATTTTTAATTCTTATCACTTTATATTTTATGTTTTTCAAATAACTTTTTCATTAATGTAATATATATGTAATAATTGTTAAATAAATGCTATGTTCTTAAATGTTAAGATCAAATGTATATTCACTTTTGATTCTCACTATATATTATATAATGAGATTCAGAAATTCTTGTCATGAATCAAATACATGGTACAATAAAACTTGCATTTAAAATAAAAAAATATTAATTTTTTATTCTATTTCATAATTATTAATTAAAATTTTTTAAAAATTATAAATTTGTTAAGAACTAAATGATAATCATTAAAAAAATAACTTTTATTTGAAAACTTTTTTCCATCTTATAATTTGCGAATTACAATACAATATCGGAAAATAATCGAATTTGCACAAAAAAAGTATATAATTCATATCTATCTGCTTTATATATTTCCAAAGTTTTAAAATTTTTTTAAATTTGCAAATTTAAATTTGGAGTTTCTTATGAGAAACTTTTTCCTATATATATAAATAACTATTTGGCGATTGATTTTAATTTTTTTTTTTAAGTTATTTGCAAAAAATTCAAAGATAATATTATATTATATTGAATTTTATGTGTAAGTCCATGGCAGCATATATGTACATAATATGCACAAAAAATAAAATTTTCAATCTTAAAACGTAATTAAATGAATAAATTTTTTTATTTTGATATAGATGGTTATCTTAGAACTATTATTTTAATTTAGCCTAATTAAAACTAATTCATAAAAAAATGAAACATAACTTTTTTCATCTTGAATCTTAGATTTTTTTCTAGATAGAGTATTAATAAATATTGTCATATTTGTATAATAGATATATGTATTTTTATAATGTTTATATAATATTTCTATAGTAGATATTGATCCATTATTCAAATGTATGTAAATTTAATAGAATTGTTTAAACGATTATTATGTAAAAATATTATTAATAAAATTATAAAAACATTATTTATTTTTTTTTGTAAAATATTTTTCAATATATAAATCTATATACTTCTAACAATGTTTATAACCTTTAATAATAAGCTACTAACTTTAGAAATTTAAAGAAGATTGAGGATGAAAAAAAAAAAATACTTACCGTCATCAAAAAATCCTTGAAAAACGACAAATTTATTGTTTTGCGGAATAATCTTCGTAAGAGCATAGTGTTTGTTTAAAAAGGCTAAAAATTTTTCTGACGGTCTATCTATTGCTAATTTCACCGGTCTAATATTCTCTTCCTGAAAATTAAAAATAGCATTAAGTTTAACAATATGAAGTTATTTTTAATTATTAAAATTAATTTAATATAAATATAAAAAATAGAATAATTTATTTCTTTTTTCAATAATCATTCATTTTTCATTTTTTTTTTTTTTATAAGATGCTTAAATAAATGAATTTACTGAAGAATTTAAATGAATTTAGTAATTTTTTCGAACATAAAACTCAAGCATAATGACGTTTTGTCATAATGACATTTTTCTTTAATGATTGATTAATTTGCTATCATAATCTAAATATTATTATTTCTTATCAAAAACAAATCAATATTTTAAGCAAAAGAGTATTTTCATTTGATATTAAATAAATATACCATTTTTAATATTCTTATACATTATATAAATACAAAATAGGAATCTAGTTTGAGAATTAATTGAAATTAATTATTTAGATAATTACAATTATATTTTCTATTTTATATGTTATTTAAATAGGTTTATAATATAATAAAAATATTGTAATTTAGAAAATATAACATATAATATAGATAGACATGTCATTATATTTATATATAATATAATAAAAATTAAGAAAAATAAAAATATTAATAAATATATAATATTTATATTTAATATTTCATTTCAACTTTATTTATCTAATTTTATTTTTTGACTTTTTTTAAATTTCAATAAATAAATAAATAGACTATAAATTGTTTAAATTTCTTTATTTCTTGGATGTTATTTATGATTGAAAAAAAAATAATTTATAAGTTTCAATTTAAAATAAAAATAAAAAACTAATAAAAAAAAAAGTAATAGTAAGTTTTAAAATAATATTAAAAAAATATTAAAAATATATAATTTCATAATCAATTAACGTGAAATTTGAAAGAATACTAGAAAAGAGAAAGTAAATCTTTAAAAAAATCTTATTATATAAAATTTAAGTTTTATATTTTATTTTCAAGATTAATGAAAAATTAGTAATATCATAATAATATTTGTAATATCACAATAAATTTTATATATCAGACATGACTAATATAATTGTTTTCATTGTAGAAGTCAATAGCCGATCCCACTTCAATTGCTACCATGAAGAATCGCAAATATTGCAAAAGCGACTTTCTCATAGAGATCATTTTTAAATTAATCCATTATTATGATTTTCTATTCAAAGTATGTCTAAAATAATAATAATTGTCACATTTATATACAATATGCTTTTATTTGCATTTTCCATTTTACAGGATATCATACAATATTATTTGATAAATCAAATATGTTTAATATTTTGAGAATGAGTAATTAAACTTTTTGTGAATTATAAATGAGACACACTAGATATTAAAGCCGATATAGATAAACATTTATTCAAAATAAAAATTATACTAAACATAACTACAATAAACTGTTACAATTAATTATTGTATTAATAATATTTGAATAGACAATATATTAATAACATCTGCAGATTTAAATGTATAGAATCAAAAATTTTTTATAAATATTTGAAAAATTAATAAATATCCAACGTTAAAATTTTAGATTTTATTTCTTTTCTTTCCTTAATTTTTTTTTTAATTTCTTTTTTAATTTTGATAATCTCGTCAATAAACTTCTATTCAATCATAAAACTGAAGATCTTACAAGAAATTAAAGAAAATGAATATCAATGTGAACATAGAAGAAACAGATTATATGAACATTTAAAGAGACATGATAGAAAAAAAAAACTAGCCATTATTCTGTTTAAAAATGAAATTCGTATTCGATTACAACATTTTAATCTATGCATTGTTTCAATTTCACGAAAAAATAAAAAATATCATGGAATTTGTTATATATATGTATGTTATATATATATATTTGTTAGATATTATTTAAAATTATTAAAAATCAAAAATGATGTAAAATAAAATATTTCATTTTAATATATAAGAAAATATAAAATTATGATATTATATTAAAAATTAATAATAATAATAATAAATAAATTTTTGTTTAAGAATGCAGTCTTTTTATAGATCTTTTATAGATCTTTTATTTTAAATTAACTTTAAAATTGTAAAATATAGATTTTTTTTATGAAAAATATGATTTTTTATGTAAAATCAATCTTGAATATACTGAATAGTATAAAAAAGAATATCTAATGTATTTAATAAAAATTTTGTCAACTAACATCTGTCATTGGGCTAGTATATATAAAATATATTATTTATGTTAGATAATGATAATATATATGATAATATAATATATTATATATATATATATATATATATAATATATTATATATATAAAATATAATATATAGATAATGATAATATATAAATAATAATAAATATATAACATATTTGATTATTGAATGTTTTTTATCTATCTTACTTTTTTATTTTTAAACTTATTTTTATTCTCAAAAATGCATGTAAAATACTTTGTAATTAATATTAATTTAAATATTTTACAAAATAATAAAAAAATATGATTTTTTTACTAGTAATAAATTCTATATGTAAAATGTCCTAGTCGAATTAACAAGCATTAATCACGAAAAAATACTACATCAGGAAAATCATATTAATTGAATATTATTTAATTAATTTAATATAAATAAATAAAATGTTGAATAAATAATAATAAATATAGAATAAAAAAATTTTAATTTCTTTTTTTCTATTTTTTTTTATTTCGTTTTTTCTTTTTTTCTATTTATTTTTATTTGCAATTTCAATATTGACAACAGTGAATAAAATAAAATATTTATCTTGAAGAAATTTGAATTTGTTTAATATATTAATAGTTTTTAATAAAATTAAAATAATATGCATATTCTTACATATATGTACGTACATATTTATTTCATAACATATTTATTTCTTATTAAATATAATTTGATAAGATATTAAATTATTTTTCTTATTAATTATATTTTTATTTTACCAACAATATGAATCATCATTAATGAAAATTAAATTTTTATTTGTATTAAAAAAATTTAAATTCTATTGCAATTCTAAAATTATTATTTAACTTTTTTGCTATTCACATATACTGACTTTTCTATTAAGAACTATTTATTTTATAATATTAAAAAAATAAAAAATAAATATTAAAGTTATAGATTCTAGAACTATCATAAATTACTCATAATATCTTATACTAAATAAAAATATTATTTTTATTATTAATCACTATTGACATCTTAAACATAATCTTTATCCTTCTTTCTTATATTCTTCTTAAAATACTGAATTTTATACATATATAATTTTATACATATGGGATTAAAACCATTCATTTTATATACATTAATTGGAACAGTTTCATAATTACTTACGGAAAGCATATGCTGATAGAGAATATTTCCAAGGCCCATGCGTTGTCGTGATTCATGAATATAAAAGTCCAGAATGCATCTAGGTTTTAATTGATAATGAGCGCCAGTCTCGTCAAACATGAAAAGATTTTTCGATCCAGTTTTTAACAATCCCACCACACTGCCCAGTCCGCTATAAAATCATAACAAGTTTGTAATATTATGCGATAATGATTCATCCATGTAGTTCACATAAGATTCGCGTTGTTATACATAGAACAGAATAAAATATTTGGAATATATTTTGCCATATTTGAATTTTAATAAAAATAATTTGAATATTAATAAAAATAATCTATCATATCACTATATTGAAATTTTTGTAATATATGAGATTTTTTTAGGAAAAGAAAATATTAAAAATAATAATTTTGTTTAAATTTATTATATCAATACTAACAACTAATAAAAGATTTAATAAAATAAATTTTTTTATTTTGCTATTCCCAAAATAAAAGATAAAAGAAAGAAAATTAAATAAAATTTTTTTAATCCTTCGATAATTAGATAATTATTATTATATAAGATAAAATAATTAATTATTCCAGGATTTTTTTAATAAAAAATCACATTTATATCAAATATATCAAATTTAAATAATTTTGAACAATCTTTAATCAAGTTAAAATTTGTTTATGATTGATTTATGTTTATATATATAATTTATTAGAAAATTCCAAATTAAGAAATAGAATAATAAAAAAATGTAAAAATATTAAGAAAAAATTTTTAAGAAAAATAAAAAATGAATGAATTAGAAAAAAATGAATGAATTAGAAAAAATGGAGCATTTTGAAAACATGTTACAAAAGTTAATCTTTTAATAATTTCGAAAACATTCAAAAAATTAAAAATAAATAAGATAGTTGTATTTTTCCTTTAAAACCATTAAACTTTTGAATTTAATATTCTTTTGGAAATACGTTTTCAAAATATTATAAAAATTTTAAATAAATATCCTGTATGTATATCTATATTTAACGATGATATTATAAATAAAATGCTAATTATTAAATACTTTTAATTTTCAATTAATTTGAAAATAATATGTTTCAATATCAAATAGAGTTTTGTTTTCAATTAGAAGCGATTAGGATGGTAGCAATATTTTTAACTTTGGAATATGATTACATATTTAGAAATTATTATACGAAATATATATATATTAACATCAAAATTCTTATACAAAAATATTACTTTCTTATCTAATATTATTGAGTTACTATAGTTTTATTATATATCAAATAAAATTTAAATTAATTATTAATAAAAAATGAAAAATGGAAAAAGTTTTACAACTGTCCTTGATTTAACTATAACTATAATTGCGTCAGTCGCAATTAAATAATATTAAAAAATTAAATTTATATATAAGTTTTTATAAAAAATTATATAATTAAAATTATATAAATAAAATAAAATAAAATTAAATTATAAAATTATATAAAAAATTAAAAGTAATTAAAAATTATAAAATGTTTTATTAAATTAAAAATTATTTTATATTATGATAAATATATAAGTCATTTTTTTATGTAATAAAGTTTTCATATAATAAACTTGCATTTAATTTATTATAAATTTTTCATTTAATAAAATTAAGGAATTTATATTCTTTTATTGTTCGATTATATTCTTTATCAATTTTCATTCTATAACATTATAATCCATCTTGAATATTATAATCTTCTCTATATTTTGGAATTAAATTTTGACTAACTAAAGAAAGTT